TCACAAGACGTATTACTACTGGTTATTGGCTAATGCCTAGGCACTTGTTTCTTTTCAATTATGCGTTTGATTGAAACTGTTTAATGTATAAAAAACGCAATTCAGTTGTAAAAAAAAAGAGACGGAAGATACTAGAATGAGAATCAAAACTTACAAGTCGAAGAGAGGCTGACAAACGCACGGCAAAACAAAGAGAAACACGACGAAAAGACAAACAACATCGTACGAAACGCCACATAAAAGAACAATAAAGACTGAGCAACACAAAACCCACCAATAACCAGGGGTAATTAATATACGATTTCAACGTACTAGTACATGCCAAATCTAATCTCAGACGCTTTTAGTGGGTTATATCTTGATAATCCTAAACATACATATCATATAATTAGTTATCAAAGGTATCAGGATTATAATTTAATACGCCAGACGCGCGTTTCGTCTACATAAGACTCATCAGTGACGCTCAGATCAAAATAGATATAAAGCCAAACAAGTACAAATTTGAAGAGCATTGAGGACCCAAAATTCCAAAAAGTTGTGCCAAATACGGCTAAGGTAATCTATTCCTGGGATAAGAAAATCCTTAGTTTTCCGAAAAATTCAAAGTTTTGTAACAGGAAATTTATAAAAATGTTATCGTTTACATGTGTGTTAATTTAAAACACATTGGTCTTTATATATACATTATTTTATTTCAATATTGCACTTTTTGATAGATAATGGCTATGCATTACTGTGGAACCCCACCCCCAAACAAAAAATTATCTGGATCAGCAATAGTAAATTAAAAGTGCACATGGCATACTTAAAGAATATTCGCTGGAAAGTTTCATTTAAACTCAGCCAATGTTTAAAGAGGAGATACATATAGAAGATAATTGTACAATTTTGTAGAGTCTATGCTCTTGTTATGGGAAACACCTAAAATATTCAGAATAAAGAATATGACCCGAATGCCAACAATAACTCAGTTCATTGAAATCCAGTAACTGAGTTGGAGATGAGTTGCGGCTAAATGAAGTCGGAAGAATAAAAGAACAAAACAACGTACAACGATCATTCATTTGTATACCACATAAGTGTAGGACACGAAAAAAAGAAAGTTAAAAGATAAAACAAGATAAAAAAGGGAAATATTTAAAATTAGTATTTTTTTTTTTATAAAACTTGTATTCAAAATTGCTTTATTTTTTTACTGAATAAAAATCAAAATGTAGATACTATACAGTACAAAATGGTTACCCCTCCTGATACAGGATGTATCACGTTATAACGTTTGCAATCCTCGCTGTATAATACTCTGTACTTTGTTGTCCATTCTTTACCTGGACCATCTTTACCTTGAGTTACAACTCCAGTGATTGTTGAAAGACTGGGTAATTGTACCTATAAAGATTTAAGTTCATGCAAGGAAGTTTTTTTATTTATAAAACAATTAACGTAATAACACTACAAAATAAACAAGAGAATGGGTTAAGCATAAAATTTTATTATTTTTGTCCGTTGTTGCTATTATATTATGAAATGCCTGTACCAAGTCAGGAATATGACAGTTGTTTTCCATTCGTTTGATGTGTTTGTAAATCTTTTATTTGTATTAACACCAGTGCGTTATGTATATTCACGTGTCTTGACCTTCAAAATGTTAAAAATAAGCCCGGGAGACATTGGATCGGACACAACTGTTTATAGATATTTTTTTTTTATTCTGTAGCGCACTATCAACATACATGTACCACTATGTACTTGAGCATTTGTACTATTTAAATCTTGTGTGCAAATTTGGATCATAAATCTTGTTGAATGCAAGTTTTCTGTCACTGAGAATGCACATGTAATGCATTTACGTTCATTTTGTGCTAAGCGGGCAATTCTTTGGACATCTATATAGTTTTCATACAAATTTAGTAACACGAGTTTCGTTTGAATTTTCAAAGTGAGCAAAAGTACAGTAAATGTACATTTTTTTTTGGCATAAAAACATCAAACATCTGATATAACTTTAAATTTCGCAACATTAACTGATACGGGACACCTTATCATAGAATTTGAATATTAAAAAGAACGAAGGAAAGTTTGTGATGTGTTTTGTCCTGCATCCGATTTCATCTGGATAGATGCACACGCCTGATGAAGCTAGTTTGTCTAACGAAATATTGCGTATATCTATTTAAATTAAAATCTAATAGAACTTTTTTAATGTATCAATTAGCGTGTTTAAGTTATATTCTTAGACATTTATATATGTATATATTATATATAACTCGTCTAAATAACAGCCCAACAATGTTAGATCTGTAAATTTGCGTAAGCAAATTTTTGTTCTTCCCTCGCCGGGATTCGAACTCATGCTACTGAGATATCGTGGCACCAAATCGCATTGCACTATATATACAAAAAACACACACAAGCACGCACACACATCTGAAAAGTACACAGTGTTGGTTATTTCATAATAATTTCATTATATGTATGTTTCATTGGAATCCATAGTTTTGGACAATTTTCATTTATTTGTGACATGTTTACATATTGGTTTTGTTTGTTTTGTTCACGCATCGTTGTCAATATAACGGAATTTGATGCGACTGTCATACAAGTGAAAGGTTTAGCTAGCTTTAAAACCAGGTTCAATCCACCATTTTCTACATAATGCCTGTACCAAGTCAGGAATATGACAGTTGTTATCAATTCGTTCGATGTGTTTGAGCTTTTGATTTTGCTATTTGATTAGGGAATTTCCTTTTTGAATTTTCCTCGGAGTTCAGTATTTTTGTGATTTTACCTTTGATTAGCTGACAACAATCGTTATGCAATCCAATATTATATTTTTTCCGGTATAAACTTGATACACTAGTTATGACTGCAAGTGCCATCCGTGATAATATTAAATTAATGCATTGAAAAGAAAAAGAAAATCTTGATATAACTCGTAATTTCATGGTTGTAGCAACAACAAAAAAAGAATTTATAAGAGTTGAGGGCTTATTTATATAATTTCATAGGGTTGTAAAAGTGGTGATCGTGCGCACATTTTTATTACGCTTCCAACAAAATTTGCTTCGGTCAACGCTTTTACTACCCAATAAAATGATAAAAAGAAGCATTCAATTCTGAATGAAATCCATAAAATCACTAGGTTCACTGTAAAATGAAGCAGACAATTAACATCATCTGTGTGTGAATGCAAATTATAGATTCCGTACAAAATAGCAGGTGGTTTTACATTATTACGAATGGAATAATCTTTGATTCATTTCATCAGCAACAACCAAGAGGAAATATTTTCTTCCTAATTGGATAAATGAAAATTGTCCTTAATCATTTATTTAAACCTTACATTGATAAACTGATTTAAGTTGTTGACTGCAGCAGACCAACCGCCATGTAGTGTAACACCTATCGTCATGGTTTCTTTAGCATGCAAACGACCTCTATCTGCACTAAAATCATTAGTTTTATCAGCCTTCATCAATTCACTACTAGATGTCATGGTTATGTTCCCTTTGTATGGCATATTTGAAAATAATGATGAATTGCAATGTTGTCCTGTAAGAAAAAAAATAATGGCTACAGTTAATCTACATGATAATGTATAAATACAATGATGTAGTATTTGCACGTGTGTTAGGTGGACTATGAAATCATTAATAAATACCCGGGTTTTGGTGGGGTTTGTGCTGCTCAGTCTTTATCTTTGTATGTTGTGTTTTGTGTGCTGTTGTTTATCTTTTTGGTCTTTTTTTATCTTTTTTTTGCCATAGCGTTGTCAGTTTATTTTCGACTTATGAGTTTGAATGTCCCTTTGGTATCTTTCGAGTCTCCTTTACTACTATTGAAAGTGCAAAAATGTTATCATTAGCCTGTAGAGCGTGATTATCCAATTTGTTTATATATTCAGAATAGCTATAGAAGAATTTGTGGTTCGCCTAACAATAAAGCAAATTTTAACTCGAAGACTACCTACAAACTAAAAATATGATAGCATTCAGTAAAACCACATTATTTCGAAGTCGCTATAATTATTTTGATCTGAAAAATCTTCCACTTTTTGAATAAGTTCTTGTATATATTGTTTTTGGAGATCGGTTGAGCTCTACATGAGGGATAGATATTTTCTGTTTTTCTGTCTTTTTGTGAGTTAAGAATTCACGGTAAGAGAACAAAAATAAGTAAGATATCTATCAAGATCGTAACATATCTATCAAGATCAGTCGGCGTAAGTACAGTACCTATTTCTTCTGTAAATAACCAAAACTGTAAATCTATTATTGCGCGAATGTCACTTTAAATGATATTTGTTTAAAATTTGATATTTTATCATTTCTTATTACTACTTTAATTTGATATATGTGAATTGAAAGGTTTCTAAATTCGAGAGAAAAAAAAAAGAAAATCCTTTGATGAACTCGATTGAATTGTGTGCGTCTGTTTACCTCTTAAAATGGCCCTTATAGTCTTGTCAGCACTTATTTTCATACTAAATATCATTCCATGAAACAATAAAATAAAATGCATTTCAAGATGGACACAGCATAGATAAAAAGTAAAATCACCAAGTCAGTGTTCTATAAATATAGTAAGTTTTAAAAAATAGCTCACCTTTTAAATTTCATTCCTTTTTCTTTCTACAAGATTTATCAAATCTAATATTTCAAAAAGTATTAATTCCAAATTTGGTCCTTTTCTTAAAAGAATTTTATTTCTCAGTATTTGTATACTAAAAATGTAGATTTTCGTTAAAATTGGTAAATGAAAGCAAGAAAATGTCCAGTATCGTAATATTTTGGTGCGTAGTGTGTGATTTTTAAGTTACATGTGCTGGAAAAAGTCTGTGAAAACAGACTATTATCTTATTTTCTCTTACGATAGATATGATTAAAATACAGTGCATGTATCCACGCTTTGTTCTTTAGGCAAAACGTGAACAAATGATCTGTCTTTATACCAGATGTTATTAATGCCATTTGCCATTTGCCATACACATGTTATATGTTTTATAAACCTGAAACTTGTTGTTGATTCACAGATACACTATGTACTGCCGAACTAATTGCTTGTGTTGATGGACTTGTGGGCGGAACTGTCACTTGATTGCCCTGCGTAACAGATGGTGTAACATAACTGGCCGAAATGCCTCCATTTTGAATTTGACATCCAATTAATTCAAACCTCATCCCTATCTCGTTATTCGATTCTTCTGGATGTATTCTAAGACATTTGACAGCAGTAGGACAGAGTAAAATGTTAGTGACAGGTGTATCGCTGTCTGTGTTAGCTTTAAAGATCTAAAACAAAGTACATAATACATAACAAAAATAATCAGATATGGGATGGATATGCAGGAGACAATATTCTGAATAGATAATAGGAAATTCCAACAAAAATATGAATCCGCGGGAGAAGTATAACACCTTTCACCTTACTGAGTGGTACACATTTCGTCTCTTTCCAAGCATTTTAAGTTTAATAACTCTGAAAATTTTGAAATGTTATTGAATACTTGTTAAAGATTATTGTATCACTTCCAAATAGAACTCATATATAATTCACTTTTGAAGGCTAAATATTTTCATTTCAGTTTTATATACCGGAATATTAAACAAATGCAGATGCTTTACATCTTAATTCTAATGAAAATATATTGAATTTACTTTTTATATCCATATCGTTTCTTCGATTACTTTTTAAAACTGGAAATTTCCTAAAGCCTGACAAGATTTATCACAGAAACATGTGTCTTGTGCACATAAAAAACGTGCTTGTTTTTTCGTTTTTTGGGGTTTTTGTTTTTGTTTTTTTGTTTGTTCTTTTTTAATACAGACCTGACCAGAGCCTCCACCAGAAACAATCCATGTTTTACAGTCTGTACTGTAGGATATTTTGTACTTTGTTACCCATTTATTGCAGCAACCATTTTTTCCTTGAGTAACTAATCCTGTAATAATGGTCGGATCTGAAAATTCTACCTACAAAATATCGCCTTTCAGTTTACTAATGAGTCATACACTTTTTACTCGGATGACCTTGGGAAATGCTATGGCAGTTTCTGAGTGTGGATTTCATTACTGCATTTAAATACTCCGACGTTATCGAGTGCAAAATGGAATTCTTTATCGCTTCATATATATATTAACACTATCAATGAAATTTCATGAAAATATTTTTTTGGAACATTTATCTGTAATCAACATGTTTTGTCTTCAGAAATATATATCAGTAAAAAATCATAATGACGAACGGTACCATGATAACATATGTAATCTTAGTACCCATAATGCACGCGGATGAATTTTAAGAATGGTATGTTCTTGTATACACAACAATATGACGAACGTAATTATACAGAGTTATCTACCTTTGAATAATATCACTAGTTTAGTTACATCATCGATCGATCAAGTTTTACTTCTAATCAACATAACTGGTAACGCTCAACTATCATCGTAACATTGGATTAATACATGGAACTGAAGGCATTTATTTTGCACAACAGTTCTTATAGAATTATTGTTTCAAAGACATTATTACGTGTGCGTCCGTATTTTTAAGTAATCAGTATAAGCCTACTAGTATAGGTTTTTAAATTTAAAACCAGTTTCCAAGAGTTGTAACTTAATAGTGATATTTATTTATCACTGAGATACCTCAACATGTTTATCAACATAACATTACGGAGACAATAGGTACTCTCATCTCATGATTGTACATAACTAATATCTATTTATTAGCGTATGTTATACACAATTCACAGAGTCCAATACACAGCTTGCTTATCATTTTATAGAAGAAATGTTTGATAACATAATTAAAATAATTTCAAGTAAACGTTAAGAAAACAGAAGTAAAATACTATCCCTTTCCTTATTTTTCTTTTTTTTCAAATGCTTGTATAAGGATCAACAGGGACGGTTCCAGGAATTTGTCTGGGGGTGTCCCCAAAACGAATTTTCAAATTATTTCAATTTTTTAAGTTGATATTAAGGTAGTCACAAAACAAATGGTAACACATGGTTTGCAAAATTGATTACTTTGACAGCCTCGTGGACCTTTTGTAGCGTGCTCCCTCGAGTGCGGAAGTGTGGGTTCGAACCACGGCCGGGTCAAACCAAAGAATTTGAAATACGTCTTTGCTACTTCTCCGCTAGGAGCGTGGTATTTAGGAGTAAGAGCATAGACTATTCGACTCGGAGTCAATGTAATGTGTGGGGGTTGATTCTAAAGAAAAAACTTTTCTATTGTCAAATAGTCTTAAAGTAAGTCAGTTTTGCCCTTTGCTCCAACGCCCCTGAAGTTTAGCAAGCACTTTGAATTATTCCAATTTCTGAATTCAATCAAATCAAACGATATTTCCGATAGAATTTTTAATATCGCAAATAGTCAATAGATGTCTATGTATGTTACTCTTTTATGTTAGGTTGCTGAACCGCTGTCTTTTAACTTATAATTTTCTTATTCATTTCTTAAATAGTAGTATATAGTATGATAGAATGTTTGGCTCCTTCCTCCTCTCTTTTTTAACATGTAACTTTTTTTGTTATCCCTTTCGATCCTCTATGCCCAAATAACATAGAAATTGATTACATGTTAAATTCTAGTCTAGTATGTTAACGTCTTAAATGTGGCTGAAATGTTTGTTATTTGACTTGAAAAAGCATCTGCTAGTAGTCTACATTGAGATAGAACATTTTTTTATTTATTCGCCAGGCATTATCATGTATTGGATTCAGCCGAGTAAAGAGCACGTCAGTTCTTTGATTTAAATTTTTGAAATTAAAATATACACCTTAATTAGATATAGGAAAATGTGGTATGAGTGCCAATGAGACAACACACCAGTATCAAAATATTGACATCGGGATGAAACGTCTACAATAATGATATATTATAACTTTAGTTTTTCTAATTGGCTGCTAGCTTGAGTCTGATGTTTTAACAAGAAAAACTGAACTTGAGTGTACTTGTATAATGCGTACTAATAAACTCTACGAATCTATACTATTAAACGAGAAGACCTCATTTTGTGTGTCGCTTCTCTTCCTTCCCCAATAAATTAATCATCATGCCTCTGTGTCCTATAGGTAACATGCATAGTCGCATTTGTCATCCATTCTTATGATTATTCAGTTTGGGTTATTTTGGGAGAAAAACGAAGAAAAAGGCGTCCGGATATTGTTTCCGTCATCAGACCGACTTTTAAGTCATACCCAAGACTTCCGATTTTAAACTTTAAAAGAGGGGGTAAAGGGTTATTATCGTGCAACGTGTTTTGCAAGTTTCTATTTCACGTGCAGCCGTGAAAAAGGTTCGTTATTCATCGTGTTTCTTGAAATCGATAAAAAGATCAATGTGCAAGAAATTTTTAATTGTTCGCTCATCGTGAAATGGCAATTTTATTTCGCGTTCTTCCGTGCAGATACCCTCCTTTACTCCCCTCTTTAAACACGATTTTCATAATTACGCGGGAACAAAACAATTAATTTTGCGTTATTCTGCATAAATACTATGTTTATAATCCTAAATTATATAGAGAATCTCTATATAATATAGCAGTGATCGCCCTGGAGAAGAAACTTGGAAATGATAGTTAATAGCAAACACACTTTATTTATATTATATGTATGTTCATAGTATACAGAAACGCGAAAATCATGGAATTTAACAGAGAGCAAAAAATTAACGGACTTTGGAAAAAAGGAAGAGGGCTTAAAATAATTGTCCTGTCTCTAAGTGCCAATGACTCAGTTTGATACCTTTTCTGAAATTCTCCAGGCATAAAATCTTTTACAAATATTCATCCTACAACAGTTTACATACTTTCAACCAAGCTCTAAATACCCGCGATTTCGCGGGTGTGTTCTAGCAAGTTTATCCAGGCTAACAGAAATATTTGAAGAACAATTACTAAATCTAGTTACTTTATGATAATTTCTTTTTTAATAAAATTCCTGCAAGTGGAATCGAACACCTTTCGAGAAAGCTTAAAGAAATTTTCAATCTAACAGAGTTCACTAGAAATGCATACCTTATGTCTCCAATGGTATGATTGTCGTAATGGTTCTTTAAGAAGTATGCATGAATGCCTGTCAGTCATATTGTTTTCAATAAAAATCTTCAAATTTCATACAAAATACGAGATTTGATGTTTGCCTATGTAAAACTAATCTATTAAATGTTTACTTGATCTGTATCGATTCTCATTTGATATCTATACACCTAATCGAACAATTATTCTCCATTTTGATGTGTACCCATGTGCTCTGCCAAATACTTTCTTTAATTTCAGAGAAATGCAGAAATACGAAATAGTGTGAAAATGTTAGGGACGACATCAAAAGTTCAATGTAGGATAAAAAAAACTTAATTCACATAGTTTTTTCACCGACCCCCCACCCCCACCCCCTCTTAACTTAATTGGGGAAAAATTGATTGACCAATATGGATATATGTAAAATCGATTTTGGATAAACAAAACTTGCAGCAATTTTAACCCCCCTACCCCAAACTATTTGATTTAAGTTTTTTATCCTACATTGATCTTTTGATGTCATCCCTTATTATAATTCATAGGACATATATTTTCGTGGATCGCGTAGTTTCTTTAAACATGCATTTTTTCGATTTTCAGTCTTACATTGCTCTGCAGAAATTGTACATTTTGATTTTTCCATGACAGGGTCGCTTAAGCAGTCCTTTTGTCTCTTATTCCATCACTTGTAAGATTGTCCACAAAATGCACAGATGTTCTTTATAAATTAATTATAAATTTAATTATATTTTTTTAGTCTCTGGTCTATGGTGACATTTACCCCAGAATTAATCTTAGGGACGACAATACTTATCTTAATTAATAAAAATTCTATTTTAAATCAACCATGTACATGTATGTAATGCTTTAAAAAAACAAACTATTAAAAAGGCAATGCTGAATTCTTACCTGAATATACGGCTTAGCGTCTGATTTCGCTGGGCTCCATCCTCCCATATATCTTATAGTTGTTTTATTTGTTTCTTCCTGCGAATTAAGAAATGCCCTGTTTGGCTGATAACTGACCAGAACACTGCCTTTATCTTTTATACTGGATGAAGTGACAGTTGTGGTCAAATTGCTTTTAGTTGTCATTAAATTTGCACTGCATGCACCTGTAATAGCTTCACTATTTTACTATACTCTAGTACAAAAAAGTTGGCTCCATTAGCAGTTATTTTGTACGGGACGAGGTCATGGTACAGGTTTTGTTCATTTTGTCTTGCGACATAAACTAAAATAATGCAAAAGTTTTCACTTTCAATTAGAGTTGGACAAGACAACTTGTTAATGGTGAAAATTTTTCAAGAACCTTTCATTTATAAAAGAGTCTTCAACATGTCGAGACATGTACATGCAGCTGTGAATGTCTTTGGTTATTTGTGTCTTAGGATACATTCGCATTTTGGTATCCCCAACACCTCCTTTTATTCACACGTACCTTTGGACAAACGTATCATTGTGCGGATGCGTCATTTTTTCAATTTGTAAAATGATTGAGTATTCCTCGTAAGAATAGTACTAAAATTGTTATAAAAATTATGAAGCACTCCGTATATTTATAAATGTATTTGTCCGAAAATAGATAGTATGCAGTCATTCGGAAGTCAAGATTTTGGTGATATTTCTTTTTTTAATTTACAGGCACTTTATATATTAAAAGTAATTATACACCGAAAGCAATTTGAAGTTTCAAAGTGATAGATTTGATTTCAATTTGATAAAACTGAAAATTTGTGTTCATATTTAGTGAATGTAGAACTTTATTTAGCTGGCCGATGCTTTGAAAGTATTTGGTCACTTAAAAAAAACATTCAACGGAAATATAGATATTAATATAAATAAGCAATTATAAACAATCAATTATTAAAAATGAAAAGATAATACAAAATAAATAAGTGAATAATAACACCAGAAAGAACAAAAAAAGATAGAAAAAAGGAAGAAAAAAGATTTGTTTTGATAACACTGGGAAGATTTTGATATCCCCGATGTCTTTTAGCATGTCTATTTGGAAGTATTATATTGCCAATATAAAACTTGCATGCTTCAACCAAACAATGGTACTCATAAAAATAATTCTATATCGTAACAGTCTGTTCGGAAATTACATACTAGTATATCACTGTGGAATCGCACATTCACAACTCGTAACACAAACTATGGGAATAAATTAAATATTTAAAACGCACGGAACATTTTTCGTTCCAGTCTGGTTAGAAATTCCACGCGTTGTGTTAAAATTCATGCATCATTTAGTGATACATTTTGTTAATAAAAGAGCAAGAAATTATGACATACAAAAGCCACTGTTTTGACAAGAAGCGATCATTAATACAGCCATTAGGGCATGGCAGTTGGGGGGAAGTGCGATCATTAATACAGCCAGTAGGGCATGGCAGTCGGGGGGGAAGTGCGATCATTAATACAGGCAGTAGGGCATGGCAGTTGGGGGAAAGTTGTTTTCACTTTGCTCTCTACTGAACTACCACAGAAAAAACAAATTTTAAAAGAGAGAGATAAAGAGAGAGACTAAGCAACCTTGTCATTGGAATAAAGAGGCTAGAAAATGTTTTAATATTCAGTTTAATCACGTTTTAACCAGTTGTTCATCATTGCTATAAACAGACGTCTATAGATATTACTGATTTACTAAAACCCTTCACTTTTTTTCATTTTTTTCTCTCAATATTTCAAAATAAAATAAAACACGCGATGTAGTTCCGAAAATAAGAGAAAGAAATCCTTCCAAATAGTTTTACAGTAATGTTTGGTAATTAATTAGAGAGAAATTTTATCGGTAATATCCTTTCGTGCAGACATGGAAAATATTCAGTGTTCGTGGAACTTAGATTATATCGTGTTATATTGTATAAGCATTTCTGAAGCCGGAGATGAAGATGTCAACAGCAGTGTCGGATAAAAAAATTATGAAAGAAGAATATCTTAAGAGTTTTCTACTGGAAAATATAGAGAACAAAATATTCATCAATATCCTTATTAAGATTTTCGCTTTTTTATTTTCTAATCATATCATAAAAATTGTAAAAGAGATAATTAAGACCAAATAATGTATTTTTTATTAGTCAAAAGGCGCTTAATCATACGGAATTGCGTGTGGTTTGACAGTTGTTTTCCTTATGTTTCGTTGGTTGGTTGGTATAGTCCGTCGTTTTTTTTTCTCAGGTTTTATGGTTTTTCCCATTTTGAATTTACCTTGGAGTTCGGTATATTTGTAAATACTTTTTTGATTGAGTTTAAATCAAGAGAACCATAGTATACATACTTTTCTGGTTTCATCTGTTTCATCATTTCGTTACCTGATGAGGAGTTAAAGATCAGTAAATAATTCAATAGTTTACGTTTAAGGATGTTCGCTACTCTTGTTTTTGACTTTTTGTCAGATATTCGGAATCCTCTAGTTTTATCCATGTTAGTTCCAATAAAAATTTTGCCCGCTAACACCTATTTTTCTTTTCATAATTTTATTACATATAGTTTAAATAGCCATATTTGAAAATGCTATAAAATCCTTGTTATTTTTTCATAATTTTTTTAAAGAAAAAGGGTGCCAATGTTAAATGTATGAAAAGTCTAGAGACAGTTATTTCCCGCCAAATTTTCAATGGCTTATATCTCGAAAACAAGCACACGGACCCTTCATTTTTTTCTGCTTTTTTAGTTCCTTTATTTATATACTATCAATTTATAACAGTCTTTTAAAAAGCTTGTTATTTTGAAACAGAGTAGCGAACATCCTTAAGATAAGTTTGAATGTGCGGTAACCTACAGTTATATTGTATCATTTGTTTTTTTTCTCCTACCTCCAAACTTAGTTTCAGATGTTGACATAGTTGAAATTCACTCATTCTGAAGATTATCAAAACCAAATTTTTTTTACCGCGTAATCGTATGCATTTTATAAATTCTAATCTCTATTTTAAATAGATCAAAACAAACCTGGCAAAAAAAACTTATGTTGTCCTGTAGTTGATGGAGAAACTGTTGTAAGGCTGGAAGTAGTAGATGGCGACATTGTTGTCATTAAGGGGCAACCAAGGATTTCAACTCGCATGGAAATCTGGCTATTCCAATCCGTGGGTAAAATACGAATGCACTTAGCAGTGACAGGAAATTTAAACATGTTGGTAGCCATGGTGTCTTGATCTGAATTTCCGCTGAATTTCTGAAATTAAGTTTTTTCATATTCATAGCTAAACGATAATGCTAAACTACTGCTGCAAATTCATACATTTGTTTGTTTTATAAACTAATTGAACTGAATATATAACTTTTAAAACAATTCTTGACAATTCCTTACAAATTGTGACTGTTGCTAGATGATACACCTTAATAGCCTTTGGATTGGAGTGTTCTTTTAAAATACGTGGAAATTCGGAAGATTGATATGTTTCAGAATTTTTATTTAGTTCTGCAACTCAACAACAATTTAACTTTATGCATGAAATTGTATTATTATTTAAGAAATATAGAAAGGACTTTTATAAAATTTGCTTATGTATAATTAAAAAAAAACGTTGGCCGGTTATCATTTATTCACCTCATAGTCAGACATATATAAAGAAATCATTCGTTCGCATATAGGGAATTTCATATGTGATCTAATTATTGCTTGTTCGATTTATAGATTCCAGTATCCAGTAATATTTTTTCTTGAAATAACTCAACGTGAATGCAGTTGAATAAAAAAAGCTCGTGAACAGAAATTCTCCTAACCCACTATTGCGCATGTGTCGATTTAACGTTACTATTGTAAGAATGCAATGTGGAAAATTTTGAATACCGTTTTTTTCTTGTCAGCCTAAAAGTAGAAATTGAACGTTCATATATACCATAAAAGGTTTCAATAAAGAATAATCTTCCATTTGTCTACATATTTACTTTTTTGTTAAAGCTTGTTACTTAAAACTTTGTTACAATTTGATTTTTTTTTATGATTAACAGAACTATCGCATGTTATCATAACTGTTACATCGACAAGCAGGATGTGAAATATCATTTGCATATTTGCTTTAATTGAACAATATTAAAAATCCTGAACTTACAGTGCCATTACCACTGTCTAAAACTTTTAAGTTTTTACAATCATTTCCATACAATATCCTATACTGTGTTACCCACTGTGGACAACATCCATTTCTACCCTGAGTAATAACTCCTGTAATGTTGTAATCTCTTTTTAGATGAATCTGTAATAGACAATTATTTAATTCAAATTTGAAAAACAAATGTTAGAATGATACCACAACGATTACAACTTCATATATAGAATTCGACACAAATGCCGTTTGAGAACGAAGCGACAATATTGTTCCATTGTGAACGTTCCATTTTTTTTGTTGTTGTTGCAACATTCCATTGCTCATGCATGTGAATTGTTGATATACGATTCCTTTTTCATAGCTTTTTTTAACTATCCGGATTTTACTAATTGTAACCAAAAAGAGTACCACATATGGAGCAGAATGACTTAGTATGTACATTTTCGAAAGATTTGAGTTAATCACAGTGTTTGAAATATAAAAATGCAGAGATGAGGTATAGTTGCCAATGAGACAACTATCCACCAGAGTTAAAATGAAGAGGTAGTTAGCAGTTATAGGCCGCCGTAGTTCATTTCATCTTTTATTTTCTATTATATTTTTGGATTGAATAATGCGTGTTTTAAAGTGGAGAAACAGCATTACCAGTTTAAGATATCTTTTAAAGGATTTTGTTTGATCAGCGCGGTAATGATTCTCATACTCGAGGAAACCACGAGACCATTTATCCGATCTTGACGATGTATGATGCAACTCTTAACACGTTATACAAAAGCAAGGCAATCTAATTTTCTTCTCCCATAAACTTGATCTACCTACGGTGTATTTCTTTTAGTCATTTTTAAATTTCTGATTATATGTTTTCCCAAGGTCACAGATAAAATCAATTGACCGATATTTAACCTGAATGTACTGTAGTTTATCATTTTTGGCCGCTGTCCAAGCTCCATGATAAACCGTGCCATCTTTTGCTGAGAATTCTGTAAAATTAAGTATTCCTCTTGCTGCACTGTGATCTTGTGAAGAAATGCTTGCAGCATATTCACTAGATGCTGACAAAACTACGTCACTAGTATATGTTGAAATTATCTTGGTATCACATGCTGCATCTGCAAGATGAAATGCAAAGTGAAATTTGTTAGCCATTTTCCAAATAATAAATTGAAAATGTGTTCTCATTGAATCTCGTCTATCCTCCCAACCTATAAAACAAGCAGCTTCAACAGAGTATTAAAAGGGAAATTAACAACAAAGAGACCAGCTTTTTTCATACTTAACTGGTTTATATAAATTTTCCATGTCGTCCTTCTGGATACATACACATATGTTCATGACATGTATATAACTTTATCTAAATATGTAGTGAACTTACGCCTAACAATTAATATCTTTTGCTGACAATATGAACCTAAAATATTGCAAGATGTTGCTTTTATCGATGTGTATTTAAACGGTTTCGATTGCATGGAAGGAACAGTGATCATTTCTGTGATAATCAATATTCCTAAAGTTGTCACGGTATATTATACTTACATCTCAGCACATTTGTTAGTCTTATGTTCAAGTACAAACAAAAAGAAAGAAAGAAGTAGTTTACCATACACTGTAATGACTGTGTTGTGCGAATCATTGAATAATTACTCTTTTTTTTTTGCTTGATTTTTTGTTTGTTCTGTTGTTGTTGTTGTTGCAAAGGCATTAACTACTAGAATGAAGTTAATGTATATATAAATAAACGGATATATTGTGTACACGGCAATAGGAGACGACCAAACCGTCGTGTAAAAGAACAAAAAGACATTTACACATATAGTGAAGCGTTTTCACTTTAATAGAAAGTTGTAATTGGCTATCTGAAATCGGACTTGTTACATTTAACATGTGAAAGGGCTTTGAAAAGATTTTTGTGTATATGAATAACGTTAAAATATGACTGAAAATCGTCTCCTATGCTTTAAGCCGTTTTAATGGAGTAAGCAGAGGTAGTAATTAAGGGTCTCATGTTTAGGATAAGACCTGGTTAGTTAGAGAAACTATTTCCTCCTTAGCAAGATAGGCAGTATTGTTTGGGGCGCTTATTTCTTAACTAAAGCAGGTGGAACCATATAACTATAAATTTAGTCTTCTATGGTTATCAATACGAACTTGTCAGCACATCTCAATTTGAACATATTAAACATTGACAGAAAAATATGCAAAACTGTTTGTTTTTTTTTTTTTAATTAGTTTCCATAAAACAGTGCTATGGGACTGGACTATGTATGAAATATTATCCACAATAAGCATACACAAATTAATCAGTCAAACCATTCGAAATCGGGGTTATAGTAAAAACATTTTTTTCACTTATCTAAATCAAAATTAGTTGCCAACATATATTATAAAAATATTGACAATTTGAGTGACAATACCAGTTATAATATTGGTCATCGATAAATGCGTAGAAACTAAGAATTGTCAATCGCATGGTTCTACAAACGATCTATAAACACCACTATTGGAAGTGTTAAGATAAACATCTATATATTCGCCGTTGATAAGTTAAACAAATCAAACATCTTCAAACCAATTACTGTTTGACAAAGGTTCGTGTCAGCGGATGGGATATCCATGTATGTTGATATCACAAATTAACTATTAAGTGGAGGTGGAAAGTTTGTGTAACTACATTTCCATTCCCGATAAAACAAATCACTCTGTATTAAAGTATAATTGCCTTGTTTTGTTTATCATGAAGTACTTTTTTCTGCACACTCGGTGCAACAATTTGATAAAAGTTATATCTTTTGCTCTAGTTACTTGTTATGACATCCTTGACATAAATATAGATGAAGACCTATATATGAATTTGCTATGGTCGTAGGTTAAAATAGGCACAGTTGCAATTACGAACATATGACACGGATAAATTTTGATTTTTTTGTCAAACAAATGGAATTAAAAAAACAACTTTTCGAGTTAAAGGTTATAATTTTGACTGTAAGTCGAAATTTAAAGATTAAAGTTGGTCGACCGAGATGAAGGGCGAGAATTTGACTGATACAGGAATTAACTTACAGAGAATCACCGTGATTCTCTTCACACACTAGACATCAATCGAACTTAACGTTAATATTCCGACCCGACATGGCCACGTTTATTTTCATACATTACAACCAAATGAACGCCCAACTTTACCATAGGCTTAGTGACTGGTTTGACCACATTTCTATACACTAGTTGACCTTGGGAGTCTTTCATAGAAGTAAACCAAAACCAGTTCAAATTGTAGACAATTCAAAGAATAAATTATTTAAGAATTGAGTCTGCTTCTAAAGTTTTATGGGGTTGTAAGAGCGTTGTCCGTGCACACATTTTAATTTTTTAAACAAAAATAGAAAAACCACAGGACCGTTGCCTACCAATCAAAATGATAGAATCCTTATGAAACATATATGTTGTGTAATTATATGCAAAAAATTACGAAAGAAAAAAATCAAAAAAATATTGAAATGATTCTGTCACATCCAAACTCCTGTTTGCGTTGAATACGCAAAACCGCCCTTTTTCGTGGTTTTCGGACATTCAGAATAATAGATACATTCTAAATATGAACTGGTAAGATAGGGAATTGATCACTGAATTTATAAGTATAAAAAGTTCATACATCTTCAGCAAACTCTCTCTCTCTCTCTCTCTCTCTCTACAAATTATCAAGCTGTATAAATAGACTATATGTTTCATTTGGTCTCTGTTGGAGAATTGTCTCGTTGGCAATCAGACCACATCTTCTTATTTCTATATATATCCTTGTGGTATATACTTTTATTCAATGAAATGTATTTCTACGTCTTCGTTTCTTTTTTCCCACAAAAATAAGTTGTTTTAAAATTGCATTTGAAATATAAATTTTTAAAAATGTTTGCTAATACTTCAATATGAAAATAAATTCCCATACTCACTTGTACATACAATCGAATAGCACACAAACTCAATAAAGACGAAAAATAATTTAATCCTATCGAAAAAATGCATATTTATTTTTTCAAGTTATTATGCATTAACAGAATGCTACATGGTGACAAAAATGGCACTAATCTTTGTCAGTTGAAAGAAATACTTCCTTCAATATCAGAAATTATCTTTAGGATTTCAAATATCCGGTTAACTCCCTGGCGGTCCTTTAGATGGCTTTTATCTTACGACTTGTCATCATTGTTTGTTTTAAAAGCTAATAAGTGTACTTGATTAATGGATTTTTGAACTTCGAAATGAATTCCCATACTCGTATCGCTGGTGAAAATTAAAACTTGGAAGTTTACATTTTAAGGTTAATTTGTTGTTTTCTGTATTTCTTTGCTGAACTTCACGTACGTGCATATATATACATGTATGAAATCAACGTGTGCATAATACATATTCTCAGTTAAACATAAAAATCAAATTGTTGATACATATTATTATAAAAATTCGATCCAAGAGGTACATGCAAGGCCAACAAAACTCTTTGAATTTGTTTCGCTGTAAGGATCGAAATCGGAAAGTTGATGAAACCTAGATATTGAGACTTAAAGCTTTTTCAACAATTTTACGTTTATTTGTAAAATATTTCAAATTATAATTTTGCATTGAATCAATGTTCTTTTTGTTGATTCCTTGGATAAATACTCAAAATTTACCAAAATTGATCACAGTTTAGCAGTCATTAAGCGTTTATATTTGACAATTGGTATTAAATTTCTTTCTGCACCAGTATCATTTGAGATACAAAATGCTGATGAAGTTCGAATTACCCCGAACCAACATTAACTATTTTACTTGCTATAGTGTTTTTTATACGGTATGGGATTTGCTCATTGTTTAAGACCATACGGAGACATTAATTTGCTGGTCCCTAACGGATAGTAATTGGGTTTATTATGGATAGTTGTCTCTTAGGCAATCATACTAAACTTTCTTATTTTCATATGTAGTGAACATTTTCTCATTTTTGAAGGCCGTACGGTTTTCTATAACTGCCTATATTAACTTAATTTGAACTCTGGTGGATAGTTGTCTCATTGGAAATCATACCACATCTCCTTATTTGCATATAAACTCCTAAATTGTCTCATGATAGCGCTATCGCCTATTCTACCGGAGGTCGTGGGTTCGAAACCCGGCTGGACCAAACCAAAGCCTTTGCCGCTTCTTTGTTTAGCGAGGGGCATTTAGGAATACGATCAAAGACTCGGATCGCAGGGTTGATGTGTTTTTCCTCGTTATTCGAAATATACACATAAAACTGTGTCATAAATCAGCGATAATGTAATAATAATACAAACTTTTGGAAATCCCGCTCGTACGAAATAAATTCAGCAGAATTTACCCGATCTCTTCAGAGAGGATATAGAAATAAGAAGATGTGGTATGATTGCCAATGAAACCAAACTGACATAAAAGTTAGCAACTTAGGGGACCATACTTCCTTCAACAATGAGCATACCTATATTGAAAATGATCACTGCACATGAAAATAAGAAAGTGCAGTATGATTGTTTATGAGACAACTACCCATAATAGACCCAATTACTATCCGTTAGGGACCAGCAACTGAATGTCACCGTATCGGCTTAAACAATGAGCAAAGCCCATACCGTATAAAAAACACTATAGCAAGTAAAATATTTAATGTTGGTTCGGGGGAAGAACTTCATCAGCATTTTGTATCTCAAATGATACTTGTGCAGAAAGAAATTCAATACATTTTTCGCTCATAATATATTTCTAGTTTGAGAAACATGATTTATTTGATTCTTATTCATTAGTAGTAATTGGCTTTGAACTAGCTTTCAGTAACTGTGGGTTCTCTTAGATCGGTACTTTGTTCATGTCTTTAGTCTTTTTGTCAGTTATTTGTTATTGCTTTATGTCGATCAGATTAGTCGAGCCTGTTTCAACTGATTTGTACAGTTTGTTCTTATGTTGTGCTGCTACTCCACTGTGGCGGGTTTAAGGGAGGGTTGAGTGCTCACAGACATGTTTCATCCCGACACATTATGTTTGTGCCTGTCCAGAGTGGTTGTCGTAGGTTTCTTTCTATAATAGTTGTTTTTCGATTATTTATTTACTCATAAATGAATACATGGAGGTCGTTAGTTTTATCGTTCGAATTTTTTTATATTTTGTAATGTTGGTGCCTTTTATTTATGCGTTTAGCTCTTTATAGAAGGCCTTATAGTGACATAGAGTTGCTCAAATTATCATGTACGTCATTCGGTCTCTGGTGGATTATTGTCTCTTTGGCAATCATACCACATCTTCTTATGTTTATTTCAGAAACCAAATATTTAGGTATAGAGAAAGGAAATAGCACTAATGTGTATGAGACAACAAATTCATGGAAATACTATATGAAATAACCATTTATATATTTCATTTTCTTTCAAATACTTATTTCATGTCTTTGTTGACAACCACTACGGTTGAATTTTGGTATAAAATGATTGTCACCTATGGACTTTTCACGTCCGAGCGTCCTTTTAACTATGAAAGCAGAGTCTACTTATTAGATTAAGTGTTAGTATATTTTCTGGTCCTAAATAGGTATGAAATATTTTCTACTGGACATTAGGCAAACAATCATTCAACCCGAGGGTGATATTGAAAATA